GATGTGTTGATGACATACTGTAACATGCCACAGACGTGATGTGTTGATGACATACTGTAACATGCTACAGAAGCGATGTGTAGATGACATACTGTAACATGCCACAGAAGTGATGTGTAGATGACAAACTGTAACATGCTACAGACGTGATGTTTTGATGACATACTGTAACATGCCACAGAAGTGATGTGTTGATGACATACTGTAACATGCTACAGACGTGATGTTTTGATGACATACTGTACCATGCCACAGAAGTGATGTGTATATGACAAACTGTAACATGCTACAGACGTGATGTGTTGATGACATCCTGTAACATGCCACAGAAGTGATGTGTAGATGACAAACTGTAACATGCCTGTAACATGCCATAGAAGTGATGTGTTGATGACATACTGTAACATGCCACGGAAGCGATGTGTTGATGACATACTGTAACATGCTACAGAAGTGATGTGTAGATGACAAACTGTAACATGCTACAGACGTGATGTGTTGATGACATACTGTAACATGCTACAGAAATATTTACTGCCCACCAACACCATAGATCCCACCAACATCATAAATTTGTCAGGTGAGAAGTTATCAACGACATGTTACCTCTATTGAAACCATTAAAGAGCGACGACTGGACCCTGATCCATAGGAAAAAGATGCACAGTAAATAATACTTTATTCTCTCCTCCTATTGTACCAAATAATGGGCGTTTAGGACATACGCTGCGTAACAGATGTGGTAAGAACAAGAAACACGTCAATGGGAGTTATGGTAACACGTGGATATCAGGTAGGACACGTAATTATATGATCAGGCATTAAGTAAGGAAAAGAACAGGAAAAGGTTCATCAAGGACCAGCAAATAAAGGAATGATTCGAAACAGTCAAGCGGATATAACGTGGCCATAAGTAAAGCAACAGAATGAAACCTCACAAGACGCTTCGAAACACCTAAGTACGTCTTAAGGATAAGTAAACAGGTAAGATAAATGTATTTTAAAGCGTTATCAAAATAAGAGGTAAAATCTGCACCTCATCGAATATCGGAGATGCAGGAAGACGGTTGGTAAACACAGGAAACACTCTGAAACCTAACATTAAACGAAATGAACCTAGCCAGGGAACAGTCAGAGTACCGGATGAATAAATTGGCAATCACAGACCATTCACACAGCGAAGTTATGACATCGACTAGGGTTATTCCAAAGTGGTGGACGAGGAGAGCAGCTTATCCAAGTGTCAGAAAAAGGAAGCCATCTTGATGCGTTGCATTGGGCTGTTTCTGAATCGGGATGAAGGGGCCATAGCCTCTCGTACATATGTCGACCGTACTGGCGCTTTTCTGCCTCATGAAGAGTTGACTCATGTGCCACCCCTCCCCCTCTGCAGAGTCGAATGTTTTCCTCTGTGTCTACTTCCCCCTTGCACTTGGGATCATTTTCGTTTCCTGTCTTTCATATCTTCTTTCATTTCTACTAACTTTCTCTTTCCATTTTCCATTCTCTGGTGTCCCCCTTAGCACCCGTCCATATATCACCCTGGCGTTACCAGGACGGCAAACCCCAAACAAACAAATGCGATGGACTGCATCTTTTATTGAGTTGGAGTTATGTTTTTTGACACTTATGTATTGTCTGGTTGTTCTGTGATGAAGGTGACCGAATGCAGGGTTCTTATCAGTCATCGAAACGCATTACACATAAGCATATTACTGTTTGTGCTACATGAACCTATTAACAATACAAATTATGTCGTTACTAAACCATCATTTTAAATTTAACTAATGACTATACCGACGATATCCATCTTGGTGTATTTGCCACGCCGTGCTTACGTCCAGCAGACTCGGGTAGTTTTACTGGTTGTAATTTGATGCACGGAATTTGTATTGAGATTTTAGTAAAAAAAATCACTGATGGTACCATTGGCCTTCTTAAATATTTTAGAATTATCAAACAAATATATCCATAATTTTATTTTTATTTTGATAAGCGAACATATTTAATCTTTTATTTTTGTCAGAGATAAACCATTGATTTTGCAGTTAAATAGATTTGTTATTTCTAATATTGATATTTTTATTGATATCCCTAAAAATAACGTAAATTATGTTTAAACGTTGTTATTTCCAAAGAACAGTTAAACAAACATAAATTACTTCACCTTACTCACACCATTCGATTAAACTTAATTGATAAAACACACTCGTGAATGTAGAAATATATTTTGTAAACAATATATACTCACGGTATTATGTCTGTTTTCAGGGTCGCACGGACCTGTCATCGGCCAGTAGAGAACTGTTGAGAAAACGACTGTTTACCACGGCGGAACACATGAGAAAGGTACCAGCCAAAAACCAACCCTTGTTTACAGACACTTATTAGTATAGCATAGTGTCACATTAGGAACACACTTCGGCCTTTTCCGTCAAGTCGACTTCACGAAAAAGGTCGATGTGTAATCGGATGACTAGTGCCATAGATATTATGTCTAGATTTGCGCATATGCTACTTGTTATATATCAGACAGAATGGTTATCATACGAACTGTATTCTATATTGTTGCTAAGATTTCTGGGTTCCTTGCATCGAAGAAACTTGCCTCAGTGTGATTCCTTGATCAAGCTTTAAAAAAGAACATATAAACCCAATACCAGAAGGCAAAAATGTAAGATATGCTGATTTAATTCGGGTAAAAAAACATCTTGCCGATGACAACCACGTAAATACAATAACAACATTGTCTTGATAATTCCTAAGCCTGGTTGTAGTGTTACAACAATGAACGCCTCGTCAGGTTGATGATAAGTAAATTGATGTTAATGTTATAGATACATATGAGGACCGTTAAGTTATTAGTATCATGATGTCAATATTAAAACTCTTAACACGACAAGTGCATATACATTAACTTGTTCTCTAAGTACATAGTCCACTGCTAACATCCTATTAGTAATATCACCCGACCAAAGTTCTTTTTAGTTTTGTCGCTTGACAAACAATTTTTTGTTTACATACTTGTTCTTATTCTTTGAGGAATATTAATTTCAGGAAAAACCAACAAAAAGAAAAAGAACGGTAACCTTTGACCCCAACACCAAAGTTCGTAGCTAGTCAATCTTACAGCAAGCTTCATGCTTTGACATGATGTACCCATAAACACACACCCCGTACTGACTGCGAGTGGGTTAAGGGTGTGGGGACAGACCTGCCTGTTATTATTGTTATATAAAGGTGTTGGTCATTTTGTACATGTTATTTGCTGCTTACATATTCCGTTGAAACACTGAACAACACCTAGGCGGTAAATAAAGATATTCCTCTATCCATACTTTCCTCGTGTCAAGGATACCAACAGATCTAATGAACACGCTTTTCACAATTTCCATACTGGCTATATAGACGCTCATCTTTCTCTACAACAATTATATCTTTGGAGCAACAGCCAGAACTCATTGTAAACCGTTAGTGAACATGTAGCATAAAAGACGACACCCTCGTCAAATGATGTCGTTCTCTCACACTCTCTGCTGCTAAATAGTAACAGCATGCCGAAATTTAATTGCATTCAGAGACGTTTTAGTAGAAATCGTGACTAAGATATACTTCTATAAACCTATAGATGCAATGTTTTGTACAGAAGTAAATTCCTTATTCAGTCACAGGATTGAAGGATGTTCAATCAGCTGACGTGCTCTTTAATTTGGACATATATCAATGGGACATCCACCCGAATAAATACTGATATTTTGTTAAAACAACGCAAATTAATGTTCGGCTACTCCAAGGGGAAAACATCTGTTTAATTGACCACATAACTATTCCAAAGAAAAAATACAACAATGAAGCATATTTTGGAGGTGTATTCAGGACAATGACAAGGTGATATATTTGTAGATTTCGTTTTTTTTGTCTCTTTTGTTGGAGAAACACAAGGAAAACATTTCCCTTTTTTGCTTACAGTTGATAAATATGTTGACAATATAGTGTGATGTTGCGAATGTTGGGATTAAGGGTCGTTTTTGCTATTGGGTGTGCGGTGTGTTGACATCAAATTGCTATATGTGTGCTTGGAATGGGTACGGGATGGATGAAGTACGGATGCCGATGAGGTTGTTTTGGCCACTTGGTTTCAGATTTTCTCCATCTTAAATGATGCATTAATGCCTTGCATGTATTGTATGTGGACAGCTACGGCTTCATTTTGTTCCCTATACATTCTTCGGTCTCGCCTGGTTATGGTTTATCCACTAACCGTATTCGTTATTAAAATACCGAAAATTGTTTTTCAAATGAATATTAAAGATATTTTAAAATACATTGTACTTTCCTTATGAGGAAATATCCAATTTCAGGGATAGAGCAGAAAGGAGTCTTGGGTCTTAACATATCTTTCGAGTTTCGCAAACACACTCAGATATGTGTATTTAATACAATCGAATGAAGAATTATTTTGATTTGATCAACAAAAATATATGAGATTACATATGCTTAGTATTTTCGAACTTCCTCAACGTAAAATTAAAAGTTTCATTGTTTTCGCAAGTCAGTATATATATAATTATCAAGAGATACTACCGGTTAGTAACCATTGATAAAGTAAGTCAATTGCAAAGCTGCTAAATATAAATAGAGGAATAAGCGGACAACGAAGAACACTGGCAATAGTCGTTTTAAATCCAAATATATTAAATTCATTTTCTAAGACAAATATTTAGAGATTTTTTTTTTATTTTCCGTTATCAAAGATCTGACAACCTTTTCTTTTCTTATTTCTGCATATGCATTTGCATATTCAATAATATAAAAATCACAAACGGATACAGGTTTTATTAAAAGTTTTACACATTTATGAAAAAATGTACGGATTTATTCCCTATCCAAGTTTAACCCTGATTAACACTGGGCCAAAATGTTATGTAAGCGGCTTATACACTACTTCTACGGGCGTGCGAACATTTGGAAATCAACGCATCTTAAACTTTTCTTATGGGCGCCTAACCATGCATATAAATAAACTATTACAATGTTCATATCAAGTTTATTGAATTTAAAAGAATGATCTTAACGATATTTCAAAATATTGTATCATAAATTGGTTTTATTGCCAAAGTAAGACATTGAAATTATTTTTAAGAAGCCACATCTGTTTGTAATACTCTTTAAGCACAAACTATAGTCATTGGCATTTTGGTTTGCTTCCAGGGTCAAAGAGTGCACAGGGGACAAGTAACAGACATAAGTTTCGACGACATTCCAGGTGTAAGTTCGGAAAAAGGAACCGGGGAGGTAAATTTACGTGCAACTTCTGCTTTTTATACGACAAGATTAGATTGTCAGTGGTAATTAATTGCATTTTAGCTTACATTATACATTTTATCTGATTTGCAGCCAGAAAAGAAGTACATTTGTACCATATATGAATTATATTTGGTGTCTTACTTCGGTAAAACAAAACTTTTTAATGAAGAGCAGGTTCTGACAAATTAACTAATGTGCTATGATTCTGTTTTATTTATTTCAGCTTGGTCAGTTGTTTACTGTGTTGCGGCCTTGCCCGGAGATAATAAAAACTTGGCCGGACGATGTCCTATCAAAGCGGTTCTACACTTCCCATGATCAACGTCACGCAATTCCGAAGTCTTTGTGGCGACCCGGCAAATCACCAAGGGGCCAGAGTGACGTTATGTCGAGATCTGGGTACAGTGAAATCACAGGGAGAACCGGGGAGACTGTTACCAGCGCCACCTCGTGCCGGGCTGTTACCAGCGCCACTTCTTCAGTTTCAGATTATCTGACAGAAAAACGTATGCCAGAACTTTTGGAGGAATTTTACACGGATAAAAAATACTTGGATAAGTTCGTGGAATAAACTGGTGAGTGGTTTATAAAAAAAGAACTAAACGAGTAATGAAGCAAATTGAAACTAGATCGTTCAGACATCTTCATATTCGTATAACCTTCTGATAGCTAGTTAGTATTATCTAGGCTTAACAAAATATTCATTTCCAAACGTATCAAATGATTTTTTTAACGTTACGATGAAGAGGTATGGTGGGTAAGTATGCACATTTTTTTCGACAGCTCGCACCTACTTTTTTGGAATATTTACGCGCAGTTAGCTCGCAACTGCAGGAATTTTGAAAGGTAGCACTTTCTAAAATATATGATCTCGCCAAGATTTGGCTTTTCATTTTACGGAAACGAAATAATATTCATCGTACATGTATCTACGTAGTACTCGTTGGTTATGTGTGCAAAGTATATCATTATGTATTTCAAACATATGTGGAGGTTACTCTCAAGTGTTAATTCTAAGGTATTATATACCAAAATGGTAGGTATAACTGTTTGCTTTGTTTACCACAGTCAATATATCTGATTAACGATGAGAAAATAGTTTCAAATATTATTAAATAATCATAAACCAAGCAGTCAGAAACATCGAAGAGAAACCAAAACATATTCCGTCCTTACAAGTAGTTGTTTTGTTAATGAAATAATGGTTACTATGTTAGCCCTTTTTCCATTGAAGGACCAATGATCAATAATGTGGTCCTCAGATGGTAAAGATATTATCTTTCAAAGTCGGAGAATCTGTCATGTTCTTATAAATAGCTGGTATAGTGCAGCTGGTTTATTTCACACTGCTAGGTGACACTAATATTTCATCACGTCACTCCTACATTAGTTATAGTTCTCTATATCTAGGTTATTTAAATTGTATTACTCGCATCTGGTTTTATTTCCCCATTCACACGGTTGTTTTCATTGCATGTATATTTTATGACTAGACTGATGATTACTTCAACTTCAAAATAAAGAAACAGGTCAATTGTGTGAATGTCATTTACTATTTCAGGACGTGGTTCTGACGAGAGAATATACGCAGAGAGAGGACGTACATTTCTGAATAACAGAGCGAACTACTGGGCAAAACGCGGGGACTTGTCCACCCGGCCCCCTGCAACAAATTTAGGCCTTCGTCTGGCTCGGGAGCGAAGTACGACAGTGTTTTGACAGGCGACAAAACTCGCTTTATATTGTTAGTTATATTGTCAAGTCAAATCTACTGCTTTGAATTATTCACGTTATGGGACAGACACATCTTTTGGATACAGAAACAGTAACCAACACAGTATCGATGAGAGAATGGCAGCTGATTATAAACTGTTGTGCGTATGAACAATTTAAAAATGTAGATGCAGAAGAACATAGGTTCCACTTGTCCTCTCCTCTAGTTGCCATTTCACAACCGATAGGAGAATGATGTCGTCTGATGCAAAGAAACCTTTTACTTTTTTATGCATCAACTGATTGACCTCAGATGGATGTCTAACAAGAATGTAGAACGAGAAATGAAATTAATCTGGCCCATTAAGTGTTAGGTTGTTGGGCGTATTTATTTATTCATATTTATTTTAAGCAATGGTTCAATTAAATGTAAACATTTAAGTTCTGGATTATAGAGCGTCGTTATTGTGTATGTAGCTGAAATCGTACAAATGCTTACTTTAGTATTGTTGTTTCTAATGTTTTATACAGATATGATATGACAAAGGACGAGAACAAGTTTGCGTTTTGTTTGTCATCTTTTATTTATCAAAATAGTAAACAGTCAAACTTCGCTGTTGTCTGTCTTGGTGGTCAAAGTTGCATATCTTTCACATAAATATTAACTATATAACATTAGCGTAATGCAACACCAGTGCAGTTTATTTGTGTTAAAAAAATACAAAATAACGTTATTATGGTTTTTTTCTGAAACAACATACAATGTACATAATAATAAAACCTTTTTGTTGACGCTTAAAGATAAATGTAAAAGATATAAAAACAGGACGCTGACGAGATCATCACATTTGAGCAGATTAACGATAGTTTCACAAACTATTTAAGAAACAATATATGCGTTCATTACCACATAATACATAACTCATGATTCAAAGACACATTTCTCGAAGTAGGAAAGGTTTATGAAAATAATAAAAGCAGGATGATTGGTCCGCAAAGATATTTTTCCATCATTTTCGAACCAGGCGTTATACATTCTGATCAAGGCATAGGCTAGGAATACCAAATTACACTTTGCAAAATTAATAACGCGGCATGATGTAGAATTTTGCTGTTATATTATAATTTCGCATGCAATAGCTTTTTCGCTCGCGACAGGGTAGGCCGTAGCTTTTATGATGCCATGCGATTTAGGTATTGATGGGGCGCGTACGAAGGCCCTTCTTATTGACTATAGTTTCTGTCTCTCTAGTTGTAAAAACATTTTATGAATACTTTTGTCGTAACACAGAATGATTTATTAAGTAATGCTGTTTATTTGTTTGCATTAAACTTTAATGAGTTAATGATATTCGGTTTGGAATGGATAAATCATATCGTTTCATTCATAACATAGAAATTTATTTATATTAGTAATATTTCAAATATATGCATGACAATTAAATAAGACTGATATTGTGCATTGCTTATTTTCTCTACATTTTATAGCGATGGCATATACATGTATTGACAAACATGGAGTTTAACATCAAAACTCCTGACATGTATTACCATGTATCGGCTATATTGAACAAGCTGACCACTTGCAGTAACAGGTACATTTTGAACACGATATCTGATCACAGGTTGATTTCAGAAAAAAAGTCTATATTCGTAATACGTTTTCCTCAGTCAATACATTTTATAATCCATTTCAATTAAAATAAATATTTTTGAAATTTGTGCAGATGTTTTCGTTTTTTGTCTGTTTGAGAAAAACGTTCAGGTACTTATAATTTAGATTAAGCTTAGTGGTTTCCAGCGCTTCAGAACACAAATAATTAAGTGCACTGCTGCATTTTGGATTGTTCCCACGCATGTTCTTTCCTGTGAATAACGTGAAACCTTACGACATACGGATATAAATAAACGTTATCTAAGGTGAGACGGAATCCAAACTTAGTGGGAGATTAACATCGCTTTGTCAGAATTAAGACTGACGGATTGACACAATGTTTTTCAAAATGAGTGAAAGCATGACAGACATTAATATAACTCTGCTTACCTTCTGTTGGTCTTTTATTATGACTATTTTCAACTCACGATGCTACTTACAGTGATGATAAGATGAGAGTTAATTGTGTCATTGAGTAAATTCATCTCAATCTGAGGACTTTGTTGAAATTGGTTTGGAGATAATTTTAGACACGTTTACAGGGTAATTTTGAAGTAAACATCAAGGTATCGGAACGAAAGGAGGTTCAATGTGATCTGGTTATGAAATATTATCAATTTAATAGAACAATTTGCCTATTTCTTATTTTTATACTGTATATGTGGAAGAAGAAGCAACCAAAAGGAGCATTTCTTGTTTAGAGTGACTTCCTTTGTGAAAGTATCCATCTCTCAGTGTTCAGAAGTTTCCACTTGGGCATACCGGTTCATCCGTTGGGTTCTGATTTTGTTTTTGTCCATACACAATTCCTGGAAAGCAACATACAGTAGTAAAATAAATGATCGGCAGTGTAAAGCGTTTTGAGTTGGAACTGTTAGAATTGTTATTGCATCTTTCTGTAGGCTTCAACAACAATAAAACAATAGTGACAATAGCGATAATATATGTTAACTTAGTGATAAATATTTATAAACGACCAATTTAAATCGAACGTATAGTCATTATTGTTTTAAAGAAAAATATGAATTTTATGTTTTTCAATTTGTTTCTGATACCGTTTGTTCTTCATACGTAAAATATGTTTTAATCAAATGAACGCAAATGCACCTTCGACAGTATCACTCGGGCCGTTGACTGTATCAGAACTCCTGTGTCGTCGTTTCGAACACTCCTCTTCGAACAACTTCGCTTGTATCAAGTCCACATGTTTTCATTGCATCCATGATTCTCCTGATCGTTGCCTTATCGCCCTCTGCCTTCTTCCATGTAGAGAACATATGCAGGAATCTAGCAGGCATTGTTTCTGCCTGATATTCGATATTTACTTGGGAAATTTTCGTACTTTCCAATCCAAGCAGAATGAAAAATTCGAAGTATTCAGCACCTATCAGTTTGGACACCCCAAGCATTTCCATTTCTGTCGGACATTGTTCAAGTACCTCTGAAGTAAGGTCATATTCTGTAAATAGTAAGATGAATGTACCCAATGAGTGGTAAATCACAAAACAATATCATTACTAAAGTTTAGACGTTAATAGTACCGCAGCATGTAGTACATTGTAATATTAAACGGTGTCCCAACAAAATTATATGATTTTTTTATGGACAAACAGGTATGTGTAAGGTCACTTTAAGCAACACAATACCCAGTCTTAATACATGTACTTTAACAATGCATAATCACAAAGCAATGATCCAGACAACTATTGCAATATCAAATCATAAAGTGTGTCCATCGAACTACTACATGCACAGATACAACAGAAAGCTAACAAGATTATCGCAAGCGGAACAAAGTACGCGGTGCGCAGATAGTTCGATGTACATATCTACTAAATCTTGTGCGAAAATGATGAAGTTGAAATGTAATGTATGTGCCAAACAACAGTGCAAATAATGGTGTTAAGAATTATGGAACACGTGTTAGGACATGTAAAGAATCTATAGCTGTGACATTGACCTTGAACGTATGACATTGACCTTCGACAAATAACAAGGGATTAGTGTACAAAATAATTGTCAGGAACCTAAGACAAAATTACTATTGACGGAGAGACGGACGAACGAGCAGGATGACGCTAATAAACACAATTATTATCCGTGGTTATAGGGCCTTTGCAACCAGCCAATATCTTTCTCATCTCCGTGGGGACCATACAGCCAGTGCTGCCATTTCGGCTCTCACAGCTAGCATTCTACAATTATAGCACTGCCCAACCACGTACTCATTTAAAGATGATTAGACTGGAACAAGCGAAGTAAAGTATCTTGCTCAAAGATACAACACAGTGCCATGCCGTGACTCGAACCCGCAACCCTTCGGTCACGAGCGCGGCGTCCTATCACTAGACTGCCGTGCCTCCTAAATACATCATCTAAGAATCTGATTAGCCAACGAGAAGAAATATTTAACATATAAATAACATTCACTTGCATGCCTAGATGTCTCAAAATTACTGATGGAAAATTGTAACGCTAATTATGTTGGTGGAAAATTTCGTAAGATATTTCATAAGAATTCAGTTTAATCCTTTCTGATTATTTTTTGTTACACACTCGACGGTGTCTGGAATAACGTCGCAATAGAGCCACCAATCCCCTGTCCCAGTGTCTATGCAATACCGCCTGCATTTGCTTATCTTTCATCGCGACAGCGGTAGACACGTTCACGGCCATCATACTGGAAAAGCTTAAAACATCGGTAAGAAAGAATGCGACCCAATCAGCCAAGCGATACACATTTAGAGCATGTGTACGGCACAATTGCAGACAGCGTTGACGTCGCCTTGATTAAGCTGCGGCCCTACGTAAGGACACCGTTGCTTTAGGTTGAAATCGTGCAATCGATTTCTAAACGTTGTCGGACAAACTTGTCGTCCTTAAATACCGAAAACTTTTTTTCTATCGTTGTTTGAAAATAATAACGGAGGTGGGACACACGCATCGCTCTGTCGCGGTGTTACACACGGATGTCTACTTCTGTGACGGTCTTTTAATCGTCGAGTGTGCGTAAGGCTATTAACTAAACCGGGAATAGTTGATTCATGAACGCCAAACTGCTTGGCGATGCGACGTTGTGATTGACCTTGTAAAATTAGAGCAATATTCGCGACATTAAGATATTTAATGGTTTTTGACTGATTTGTTCTTAATTGTATCTGTACAAATCAAAAGTTCGATTATGATTGGTTTCAAGTTTATCATACGCGGGTAATCCCTAATTGCTTGAATTCTGAAGTTTTGTTAAGAGCATACAGCACGGTTCTGTCGGAGCCTTTACACACATTTTTGCAGTACCAAAGGCAATCGTATTACCAAATTTTGAATCTCTTACCTTCGTCGTATTCATCTTGCACCTGAAGAAAAGAAAAGTTTATGTTTAAGTAATCGACACCTATTAGGTGGTTGTAAATGGATGAAATGGTCAAAAGGTGCAATACAATGTTAACTTAAAATTTTCAAATAAATGCTTTCTTACTTCATTTTTCTAGTAATTGTTTTTAGTTAAGTTGATTCACACAAATTATGCACAAATAACCAAAATACGAACACACTTATTTACAAATATATAATGAAAGTGACATACCGGTGGTCTGGCTTCAGAGAACCATGGTTGTAATTCATGTCTATAGATGAAGTGCTTGTCTCCCTCGCATGAAAAACAGCAAGGCAGAAGCTTGCGCTGTTCGAGTTCCATTTTAGGAACAGTCACGTCCCCTTCGTTCACATTTGCCTTACAATGCAGATGGTATGTGAACTTCAGGTCTCTGTGAGCGTACAGTTCCATGATGTTCTTGAGTGCCTCTTCCACAAACAACCTCACTCTCAGTCCGGCGCCGGGCTCGATCTTTGGAATAGGGGACTGCTTGAATATTGTTGCCTTGATCATGTTGCTGCCACAGCAGATCGCTACTGACCAAACACCGTCAATCCTGAAAATCCCGAACCCTCTCCTTAAACAGATTTCGTCTTCTACTTTCAGGACATTGAACTTCTCGATGCATGCAGCTAGAAGTTTGTCGAACACTGGGAAGGGTACGCATCTGTCTGAGAAGACGAGACATAGGGTTCTGGTTTTTACAGCATACCTGTCGGTCATTTCTCGTGGAAAGCAAATTTTCCCTGACAGTAAGGAAGGGACGAGATAGATTTCTTCAATTTCGGCTTCTTCTGTCTCGTCTTTTCCTGTTCCGACTTGCACAAAGTCAACACTTTTCTCCTGTTCTTTTTTGGGTCTGGCGATCAAACCTAGTCGCTCCATAAAAGCTAGAATGACTGCCTTGTATTTCCAGAACCACATCTTCTTATCCTGTTTCCAAACGATCTTCAGATACTCCATATCCAAAATGGCAGACTGTTGGTACATCTTCCATAAGAAGTTCGCTCTTTTGTCCTTTCGGTCAACAAATTTTGGTACAGTAATTATCTTTCGAAAGGCCTGAGCTACCCACTGAGGATCAAGAATGACGGTTTTTGCCAAAATTGTACCAAGATTCTCCGTTTCTTCACCAAAGTACAAAATGCTGCCGGTGTAGTGAAGGTATCTATAACAAAATGTAATAAAAATCTTTATAATAAGCTAGAATCAAACGTGGACATGTCAACACAAAGCGGTAATACATTTCCCTTCATTAGGTACGGTAACTGACGAGCAGCATTACGTGTTGACTAAAGCAAACTTACTTTAAGAACATGTGTATTTCTGTTTCGTCGTTGATTTCCACTTCACACGTTCTTCCAATAGAGACGACATCCTCAAACGACATGACCTTTTCCCCAGTTTCCTTCCTTCGCATCATTTCCCTCTCTAGAGTAAGCCACCGAGCAGGTAATTCCTTCTCCCACTGCGATTGCGATGGTGCCACCTGCGTGATAGCACTCCATAGCTGTACGATTCCCGAATGGTTCCTAACATTATTGTTGACTTCCAGAAAACCATAGATATGATTTTTCATTGCCTGGAAGTCTGCCATCCCGCACAATTTCTCTTCAAATTTGTCCAGCTTTTGTTCGATTTCTTGGTCCTGATTTAAAGAACAATATTGGATTAACATAACAAGTTTTATACCAGTTCTGCTTACCCTACAATAAATACATTTATATTTGAATTTAAATATATAAATACTTTTTTTGTTAGTAGAACATGTTTATAACTGTTGATAGAAGATGTTTGATCTGTTAGTAGATCATGTCTTTTTAGGTTGAAAAGCGAAATCATTGCTTCTACAATCTTTCATCCGTAGTCATCTTGTTCTTTCCACCACTATAAAAATTAAACATACACTATTGCAGACAAGGGTGAGAACCTTAAAGGCTAAGTTTGTTTTGAACAAAGACTTGAACTGCAAACTTATTTTGCGAGCTTTCGAACGTCTGTTTCTTTTGTCAAGAAAAGGGCGTTTGCTTGACAGAGGTAACAAACGTTTTCGAAAGATCTTACAATAAGTTTTCAATTCCTGTTTATGTTCAAATCAAAGTTACCCTTTATTTTGCTATACCAAACTGATGAATCTCATTTTGAAAAACAAATAATCAATCAAAACAATGTTATGATGGAAAAGAGTATTCTAAACCAGCTCAAGGACTACTGGGAGCAGGCACTGATATGCTGCAGTAAGTTGTGCCTGATTTCTATCTCAACACTTGGCAATGAATAGCTTCATTATTGAAAAATAACATTTGTGAATACGTTTTTCCCTTTTTACATCAACAATTTCAACAGTCATTTATTAACTGCATCCATGTTATTTTCTGTATAGGGGACAATTTTGGATAAGATAGCAATTTGGGTATAATGTATTTGGGTATAATGTATTTGGGTATAATGTATTTGGGTATAATGTATAATGTATTTGGGTATAATGTATTTAATGTATTTGGGTATAATGTATTTGGGTATAATGTATTTGGGTATAATGTATTTGAATACGTACCGTTCCTGAGAGTTGATCCAAATGTGTGCCTACTAGTATAACCGGGGGAGTTGCTATGGAGCATTTTCCGCTTAATTTCTTCTCCGAGTAATTCACAGCAGAGCGAATCCAGTATTTGATTCTTTCTATTAAAGTAGAAAATAATATCACTAACGTGCATGATATCGTATATGAAAAATGACACGCAGGAAAGACAATAAAGTAGAGAAAGATGACCTACGTGTTTTAAGATCGAATGTTTACAATTACTCGGTAGGAAAAGACAATCCATGTTTTAGTTGAGATCGAGTGTTAAGTAGAAAAAAGACCAGGAGTTTGTTATAAAAACGAGTGTTAACAATGACAAGTAGAAAAAAGCAGGAGTTTGTTATAAAAACGAGTGTTAACAATGACAAGTAGAAAAAAAGACAATAAAGCAGAACAAATAAGTCCTAATATTGACGTAAACATAACATCAAATGTATCTGATGTAAATGTGTACCCATCTAAACTACAACATATGAATTAAATTTATGATGGTAAATATAAACTTATTACGGGAATATTAGTCTAGTCAATATACCACGTAAATGTCTTAATCTAGACATTATTGTTGGTTGTTACCTCTTCGATGGAAAACGCCTACACAAATCTAAATTGAAAAGACCCCCTTTGGGAAAAATATTATCAATGTCAACTAAATACTAACCCATGTGCGACACTAAGTATAAAAAAATAAAAATCATAGCAAGACAAACTCAAGAAGAACGATAATATTGTGTGAACGAGGACGTTTATACTCTAATTGGACATAGACCTTTCAAGACTGATAAGTACTGCACTTTGTAAGAACTAATCTTAGTACAATATGTTATTGCACACAGTCAATAGCTTTTATGGATGTATTTCTGACTTCCTCTGACTTCATATATTTGCAAACATGTTAGCGTACTTGTGGCAGCGTCCATGACCTGTTCCGTTCCCTCGATACACTCCATCAGGTTGTAGACCACCAGGAAGATGGCGTCGCTGCTCAGGAAGATGTGGTGTGTATTGTAGTACGGCTCCTCCCCTCCGAAGTCCCACAAGGACAGATATGCTTGGTCAGCGTTTGGTTTGTCCGTACCATCCGCAACATCTATGAGTGTCCCCATGTCATCTGCCCAGTGTTCCCGTGCATCCCGATTAGACCCTATGGTCTCAAGCAGTGTGTCTGTCGCTCCATCAACAGACAAAGGCGGCTTCCCCGACTGTGGCAGCGTAGGTGTCTCCGTTACCACCTTTGCTTGTGGCATCTTTTTTTCAGTGTCGACAGAATGTATGGGTTCTGTAAAGAATGAAATGCATTTTCCTTTTTGTTACAAAACTGTCCATCGGTATACCAACCCAAGAGCACACCCCATTTTGAGGAAAGACTTGTGAGATGCTTGCTGAAATATTAGTAATGAAAATATCAAAGTGTAAATCAGTTATTCCATCTGATCAAAATATTCACATATTTAATTTGAAGTAATACAGATTATTTTATTAAGAGGATATGAGTTGCTATACTGGCCATTAGAACATGAAATTTGGTTTAAACGTGTGAATAAGAATTAAGATCTAATCGCCAGTTGTACACGAAAAACAAGGAAAACACACTTAAACAAACACTGCGTTCACATATTTCAGAAACAGTGTATTTATCTTGCTAGAAGTGTTGATCGACCTTTGTTGGTGACATGTCACACTACAGTGGATTAACCAGTCAGAAAAAACTTTCAAAGTTGGTCATTTGCCCCCGCCTATACTGGCGCGTGCTTGACATTTTTGACGTGGAGGCGGGTTTTTGATAGTTTGTCAACGTCCTGTTATACCAATTTTATGTGTCAAATATGGATTTAGATTGACCAAATTCTTAAAAATTCTTGTCAGTACCCACGACAAGCTGACCGTATCGGCATCTGTGATTATTTATGAGGAATTTGTTGATGTTGTGTAAAATGCATATAGTCCCTAAGGCACTGTGATGTTCGTGAAATAGAAATGTTTCGTGTGTGCTTTTGAATTTCATAACATGTAGATCGGATTTAAATTGTAGTAACTCAAAGTACGTACAAGGATATTGCGTATTCATTTGTTTCACAAATAGAGTAAATTCGTCATCCAATTTTGTAAATGCAACTCCACGCCCGCTTCTGGGAACAGGCCAGACCTTTCGTATTGTTTTTGTTGGAAGGGGGCTCGGCTTAAGTGCGGCGAACGGGGCTTAACACAATTAAGCCATGCATCTATTTCAGATAAGATAATGGTCTGTATCCAATCAATACACACTTTACAAACGAATGGTGTTAAAAAGTCTGTAACATCAAGTGCTTTTGATTTAAAGATAATCCCCTTCTTGAACAATGCCCTTTACAAAATCAATTGATGAGACATTTTAAAATGGCAATAAAGTTCTGATTTCATTTGTTACTGTGACAATCCCCTTACCTTGTACCGTTTCCCAATTTTCTTGCTGCTCGGCTTGGTCAGTTTCGAGCTCATCTACATTGTCAGTCGCTTTGTTTAACAGTAGCACCTGTTGAATCCTCGTTTTAACATTTTGAGTTTCCGTGTTCGCGTCAAGCTTAACTCGTTTCTTTGTCACCATATCGACGAGGAACCGTTGTATAAATATGTCAACACCGTCAGTACTGGAAATCGTAGAAACGACGTCATCATCCTCATCTAACAAGCGATAACATAATGTACTTTTCCCAACACCTTCCTGTCCTACTATAATAACCCGGATATTTCGCGCCTTTTCTGTCCGGTCCTGAAGCGTCTTTATATAGTGCTGGATTTTCTCCCGACTATATAGGCCTGATTTGTCTAAAACGGAAGAATTCCCATCATTAGTATATGATAACGTACAGCATCTTGAACAGACGGTATGCATCGTTCCTAAATTATAAATTTTCAAAACAATACGCAATGACAATTTGTAAAAACAATGTTTTATTATGATTAAACAGCCCGTCTTTTAAAATAATGGTACTGCATCAATTATATTAAACCACAGTAGTTTGAAACGACTGGCTCCTGATCCGATTTTTTTTTTACACAACTCTTGGACTTGAGAACATCAACTACTAGTATAAACCTACGTACTAACAAGGTCCTAGTTTAGTCCCAGTTCAACCAGGATACTTTTTGTATCGCGTTTACTACGGGTATAATTGATTCGCTCAGTAGACGTTGACTCCAAAGGTATAATAAACACTTATGTAGATGCAATATTGTCATATCTAACTCAACATTAATGTCGTCTATCGCTCTTTAAAATGTTCTTGAGATTGTAAACCATACAGCCACTGTTTTTCGGTGAGATACCGATGTAGCTGCAATTTCGGTGAAGGAATTGAACTTTACAGTAGAGAAGCTCCTCACTGAGGAAAAAAATAATGTCCATGCGTTGTTGAAACTGTGAAGCTGGGGAATAACCTTTAAACTGGTATTATAGATTAATACAGCAGAGAGAGATTGAAATAAATACTGTTTCTGTAATGAAATATTTTTGCATATGCATAAATTTGTTGAAAGGATTTCATCTTATGCACTCAAAAAATATCGCTGCACGATTTGTGAATATTGTCACATCGAAATACAAGGAGCAAAGCCAAATGCAATATTCTAAAAACTTATGAGACGGACAAAGATAGACAATTTTCTACCTTCTCAAATGAATGTTAATAAATGTCTATTTTAGGAAATTTGGGTTTCTCTCTGTCTACTGAGCACAGCATTGATACAGATCCAAGCAACTTACGTTTTCACTTAGTCAAAAAGGTAAGATGTATTAAAATTTAGACGAGGAATAGTTAGCATGTACTATCAATAGGCTTTATTTCAAATCGATTAACATGTGCAAAAAAAAGCGTGTTAAAAAGACCATACATTATATGAAAGTTTACTTACTGATCTCTTGTACACCATTTGAGTGCCCAAATATAACTGCCCCTTTCAGATCTGCTATACTTGATTCAAACAAAGTATGAACTCTTATCTCATGAAAGATCCGGCGGACTGCATTCTGTAAGAACAGTGAGGATGAATATCCTCCAATCATTATGATAGAACTCACTTCTTTCAACACTGATTTTTGTTGGAGATCTCGCAGTGAACTTATGACATCTCGTGCACATGCCATAAATATGCCCTGAATGACCTCGAATTCTATGTGGGCTTTGCCGTCCTTTAGCTTGACCTTGCCATCGAAATCTGCGTCGTCCAATACCCCCGGAATTGTTTTGCCCACGACCCGCTTGTTGACTGGCTTTGCGTCCTTGTACCTACTAGGAAGTTGGAGTACGAGGGTTTCTTTGGAACCAGGATGGATTTTGCGCTTCTTGTACTCGAACTCCCTCATCAGTGGCGAGATGTCGTCATGTTCGGACAAGTCGTTCACACCTAGAACGGTCTCAATCAGACTTTTGATACCATTATTCAACGTGTTTCCACCTCCTGTCATTGTCATCGGGTTTGTTGTAACAACCTTTCCACTGGAGTTTTCACAGGTAGACAGTTCAACTGACGTAGCTACATTAGAGACGATTATAAAAGTGCAGATAACTTAACTATACCAAAACGGACAAAGAAATAAGAGCAAAAACTTTACAAATTCGAACGAAAGTTAAATATCACGTGGGAAATCAGAATTGGGGTAAAAGCACAATACGTCTATAGCACGCTTTTCTCCGATGCTCTTCTATGTGAACAATTCTTGAGTCGGGTAACGAGCTAAAAGTTTCATTAAAGGTTCCAGATAAAGAATGTATTAAGAATGTACAAGCATCAATATGAAAATATTTAAAAATAAAATGTATTTACCGGAATCATTTTTCACAATACTATTAAAGTAAATTTATCAAGGGAAATTACGTCATACATACATGAGGCATCCAAGAGAAGGAATTTGGTTCCGGGTTTGAAGGGTCTAGCCCTGTACATTGACGCACACTGCAAGTAGGTCAGGGCCGCTTCCATCTTTGTAAGAACTGTGACATTTTCTTTCATGTCAGCCTAAATAAACATACAAACTCTCTCGAATACATTCACTACCATACAATCATAATGTATATCTATTTGTTCTGAAATATTAAATGCTAGGACCTTTCAAAATTTCCTAACGCATGTGTCAACAATCAAAATTCAACGTTTTTGTATTCGCAACCAAACAAAGAACTATACTTAGAATATAAGCATAATATTGAACTTAAGCACATTGCCAGCCCGCCTTCCTCAGTTAAAAAGACTTTTTAATTAAGAAACCCAAATCGCATTAAAATTTTCGCTCATTGGATGATAGTATCAAATTGTAAATTTTGCATGTCATTTAATGGTGTAATTGATTTATCAATTCGAAAAAAATAACCTAATATCAGAGTTGTACTTGCAATAAAAAAAGAAAAGTGCCTTGTATTTTAGTATGTTACAGTTCTTTACAAGAAGTTGCCGTGCTTAAAATATATTACATTTCTGAACGAAGAAAGCAAAAAGCAAAAACAAACGACAAAACAAGGCAATAAAAATGGCAATATTATTGCTACATAATTTGACTCATAAGATGTGTTGACAAAAGTAACCAAAACACGACGTCACTATTATAAATGACGCCGTATTTCGTCATGTTTACCTGTGCCGCCGCTTGCGTGATGAAAGCCTTGTTATGTGACTGTTGGGTCACTATCGTCCAACTTATAGTAGTGTCGTCTAGTGGGTACAGCCGGGCGCGCAGTTTTTCCATAAGGTTCTCACGTAAATATAGCAACGCCATACTAAACAGATCCAAAGTAAGCAAGCTCTTCTCTCCCGTAACGTCAACCATGTTGCTAGTGTCATCGAGCTCCTGTAAGATCAATATGAAAACGCATATGCTAATTACACGGTTTATGATGAAACAGGTAGATATCCTATGCAGAATGAAATCAATTGTAAAATTATTTGTTTCGCATCAGGATAAACTATCGAGTAATGTGTACAAGATGATGTACAGCTTACATGAAACTGGTACTTGCCATTTTAAATGGTTACAATATATTAGGAAAATACTAAGTAACTCGGGGCTGAATTATATATGGATATATCAAGAGACTGTAAGCAAATTGTTTTTGAAACATTCAATGAAAACAAGGTTACACGACCAATTTATTCAAAATTGTATAATGATGTTACAACCTCGGCCAGAGGAACCACGTACCTAATTTGCAAGGAACATTTGGCCAAGAAGAATACTTAAAAAAAAATTAAGAAATAATTACAGAGAAACATTATGTAAATTTAGAATATCTAATCTGAATGAAACTCCCTATTGAAACGGGTCGATTTGGTTTGGTTTGGTATTGTTAAACGTCCTATCAACAGCTATGGTAATTTCAGGACGGCCTCCCCTGTGTGCAAGATGCATGCGTGTAGTACATGCGTGTTTTCTTTTTTTTTGGAGGGGGGGGGGGGGGGGGGGGGGCTGCAATATGTTCGTGTTTGTCTCCTTGTGATAGCGCGGAACTGATGCCGACTTTATAGTGCTACCTCACTGAAACATACTGCCGAAGACACCTAGCAGGACACCCCAATCGGTCACATTATACTGACAGGAGTAAAAACTACCATTTTTACAGACTTTGGTATGTTTCGGCCAGGGGACAGAACCCAAAGCCTTCCTCACAGGGGTGAACGCTCAATTTAAGGCCAAAAGTGAGGCATTGTCAATGGAGACATTAGGAAGAAGAAAGTTGTTTAGAAAGAAGAGAAAAGATAAGATCCCAAATTTAGTCGCCTCTTACGATCTTGCAATGGGGGGCAGTAGGTGCAATTCTTACCCTACCTGCAGGGATTGAAACGGGGCGATGGACAGGTACTCCACTAGAAAGTCGAATATGTCCTCTACGTAGTGACAGTGTAGGGGATGAATTTCATTATTTATACATCTGTAGAAATGATGTGGTAGCAGCACTAAGACAAAAATTCATACCTTCTTACTATACATATTGAACTACCTTAAAAATGAAAGGAATGTTCCACATATGCAATGTTGCTCTGCTTAAAAAAGTTTGTAGCTTTTTAGAAAAAAATGTTAAACTTTTGAATAAGTTGTAAAAACATGCTAATATTTCTATGACTGGTTCACAAATATGTATTTCATTGATTTGATTATTACAAATGTAGATACCGCCACCGCAATAATAAGTGTAGTACATGTTGGTATACATGTACATGTGAGAAAAAAACCAATAAATGTTTGTATAAATGTGTCACATACACGGGACCTCCTGTTCCACACATAGCTTGGCTGGGTGTACATCGAAGAAACGAACGTTATTCGAAAGATGAAATTTAAGAGATTTTGTTTTTGTCATAGAATGTCCATTACAGTCTGAAATAAAAATATTTCTTTTTTTACAAAAGACAACATTTTCGACAAAAAACCGCAAAATTTGTTTTACATGCCAAAACTCGTTTAAAATATGATGCACATGTTAGGAAATGAAGCACAATGACATAGACATGGTTACTCCACTAATTATTATAAAAAAAATGTTGTTGTTTCAATGTAGACCTATGAAAAGTACGTTGTCATGAATTAGTATGTATCGCTACCATATTATAAGTATGTTGTAGCAGAACGACATTGATTGGATGGTCGGGTGGTGCCGTGGTTAGCGCACTCGTATTTTATCGGATCGACCAGGATTTTATTTCCGACAGGAAGTGTTATGGTATTGGATTACTACGCATGTAGTGTTTTCCGGGTACCCCGGTTCCCAACTATTTTAGCATCCGTTTGGACTGAATTCCACCTTTCCGTTTCCGCCGTTCCAATTATTCAAAGCTTACAACGATTAAATTTGCGGAAACGTATCCAAACTTTGCTTGAGAGACATAATAAGAAACCAAATTTAAGTTATGTGGTTGGCATGCAATATCACTTACCAAGTTGATTGAACTTACAAAATATCCAGATCAGTCAACATTGTCATTCTGTGCATTATTCAATATACGAATCATCACATTGTGTTTAATACTCTATACACTTACGTTATATATCGGGAATGTCTTGAAGTAGTACCACTGCTCCGCTCCCTCACCCAGAGTCCTATATTGCTCTTCTGCAGAGTAGCCAAAGGAGTGAAAAGTCCCGTCTGGTTTACAAAGAATGGCACTGGATGTCTTCAATGTAGTGTATCTGCCGTAAGAGTGCCAGGAAAACGTGCCAATTCTTAAGGGATTCTGCTTAAAATCATCGTGGAAGGAGTAGGCATACCCAGAGTAGGCGTACCCTACCTTAATGGCGACCACCAACTTGGGCTTCTTGTCCATGTTTACTCTGTAACTTAACAAAATAATGCTCAACAAGAGGCCCAGGGGCCTTAATAGCTCACCTGGTATTTTATTTTCAATTTGAAACCTGCTGAGTAACATACAGGTTTACCAAAGCAGTACAAGAAGTACAAGTTGCAAGAAGAACTACATGTCAATCTGTTTGGGAAACCAAGAACAAGAGTTTCCATGTTGTCCCATGAAGGTTTAAGTATCCAGGGATTGGTCTGGACCTCCGGGCCTTCCCCTTCATTTTGTGCAAAAGGAGAAAATAAATCCCCTGTTTCCATATTGAGCCCCATCACGCTGCCCCAAGGGGGTCACATCCACCTTTTATACCAACTTGAGGCCCCTTTGTCCAAAGATGCTCTAGAACAAATTTGGTAAAGATCCTTCTAGTGGTTGAGAAGAAGGTTTTTGAAGATTTACCACTTGGCCCTCCGGCCTAGGTGAGCTAATAAAACGAAACTGTCGATCATAGCATGCAAGACATCATATCCAAATATATAGTATAACCTTCACCACACTTTGATCTATTTTCTAGTGGATCATGAAAAAACATAATATTACACAATGATGATAAATAGGATGAGTTATGATATTAACATTTTCCAATCAAGTCCACCGTCATCAAATGCAGACTAAATAAACATAGTTATAAAATCTTTTTACAGAACTTATTTTCACATTGAATAAACGATATTATCCAAACATTTCTTGTTTGTTGTGGTAACTTCAAAAAATTAGTAAAATGAGCTTCAATTGATCACTGAAACCTGTTGAACTGAAATTCACTTTTCAAATTTTTCATAAAATGATATTGTGATAGACAGCAATATTTCCTTAAAGAGAATGTGGTATTATATCATAAGCTTTATGCATTGCGATATGAAAAGTACTTGCCCATCCCTAATTATTATTCAACTTGTTTGTTATATTACATATGCTTTTTGTTTGTTTTTAGAATAATTTGTATTATGTATAGTTAAATAGATATTTGCACGGAAGTAAATGATATTAGTCAATGATATTTGCATTGCTACATTTAAATGAGATTAACTCATGCTTCAAATGAACAACATGTCGTAGATTGTTTATGTTTTGTTTTATATATCAACAAAGAGTTGTGTCCCTTATTGTTTGGAAACTAAACACTTCGGTTAGCATACATATATATGTGTCAACACGCATTCAAATTTTTGTCACGTAAAAGAAACAAAATAGTGTATTTACCTGATATCGGTATACACTATCCCACAGTGACATTCATTCTCGCTATTTGTCGCGTCTATCTTGATAGCAATGCTACGTATGGTTCCAATTATGTCGCTAATATCCACTAGTCATGGTCAGCCTAACAGTTAGCCTCCTACGACACCGGGATTTCCGGGATTTCCGGAGAGGATTCCCAGTACAAAAGTTTGACGGGAGTTGTATCGGTTCTATATTTAGATATTTGAAGTGACCTAGTTTTGACAATCCTTGTTATGAATCAGTCGTATTTCATGTAACGATTTTATTTAAGAAGGAAACTTAAAGATTACATGTGATATTTTTTTATATATAATTTGAAGGACTGCATACGTTTGTGTACGCATTTTGTCGCGCATTCTAAATAATTTGCAAAGACTGAAGAGCTTATTTTAAGTGATATTTTAACGCATAATTCTGTTCTTTAAGATATTTAATAAATTATACAAATGCAAAATCAAATAATATGTGCATCATTAGGGATTCAAAATTATCATTTGTAGAGCAGGAAAACAAATTATTTTGTAAATTTTACGATGTATCTCATAAAAAGAACCTTTTTAAAAATTGTATTAACGACTCGAAGTGACATAACTATGCTATTACCAACAGGGCCAAGTTGTCACCGGAAGTACGTGCGAGCTACAGTTACAAAATTATACAAATAAATGCTGTTCTGTGTGTTGCAATTCAACAAAGTTAGATGAAAAAATTATTTAACTGTATATCCGACTATTTTAAAGTTAAGATTCTAAAAATAATGTATATATCGTAATCATATTCCAGTAAATTAATGTAAAACAAGTATTTAATCGTTTATTAGCTCTCATATTGGACTGTGATTGTTTCTATGTTTTAATACCTACATGTACTAACGGTCGAAAAATTGAAAACGTATAGACGTGTCAACCCATCCAAGATGGCGGCACGGGTCAGAGGTCATAGGGGAAAAAAATCTCGCGCCAAAGTAAACAAACTTGACAGTTCGACATGGAGACGGGCTACGTAAGAGACATGATTTAGAATTCGATTTACGCTTGCTTTTTTGTATTGAACTTTATATATACTTTATACACAATGGATCCTGGTGATCAGCATCTAACTTTAGATGATTTTATAACATGGAAACTTCCCGCTTTACGTGACTTTTTGACCAAGCGCGGTTTGTCTAAAGACGGAAGCAAGAAAGAGCTCTCGGCATTATGTTTCGCAGTATTTACTATGAAGCTACCACTTGTACAAACTGGTGCCTGTATTCTAAAACAAAATCAGGAAGATTATTTTAAATTGTTATATGAAGACGATGAATATATACCGGACCCATTGTTATTACACACTGGGTGGGTCGAGGAGAAACTGGGATTGTCAAAGTGGCCACCTATCTATATCACCGACATCATTAACTTCCTTGTTACCAGACAATCGTCGACTGCTGTACAGACCATTCTTAATGATTATAAAATCGGAAAGGCTTACGAGTACTTTCAGTCTGGTCACCTTCAGGAAGTTTACTACCATTCCATATCGGCTACATCGACTAATTGTATTTTGTCGGCCAAATGTACACCGTCACAGAAAGTAAAAGACGATTCACATACAGTGTGGGTTTGCTGTTGCAAGGAAAGTGGAACAGTAAAATCGGCTTATTGTACCTGTACAGCAGGGTTAGTATACAGAATTTTTTATATACTTAATAAATTATATAAAAAAAAGATATGATCACCACCTATGAAACCCAGACAACTGTACATGTTGATATATACCAGGTCCAGTACACTCTGCCGATTGAGCTATATAGCTATAAAGACATATATAGCTATATACACCTATAAATTATAGCTGTATTGAGCTATATTTTCTCAGATTTCAAATTTCATTAAATTAAAGCAAAGTCACATAAAACAATAAGGTTTATGGTAATGTTGACTACAAAAAGCATACATTTAGATGTTTATTTTCATTTTTCATAAATGTAAAATTTCCGATTTTTTTACATCATTATTTTTTAAAAAGAATACCCATATTTAATGTCTTTTGTTATCAACTTAATGATACAATCTTCTTTTAAAAGCGACTGTTTCGTTTTCCTTGAAAAAGAAAATCAATTGAAAATAGCTCAAAAGACCTATTTCACATAGGTCAATAGAGCTATTATAGGTCTTTACAGCTATATAGCTCAATCGGCAGAGTGTACTGGACCTGTATACCTGTAGGTGATTGTGTAATGTTAAAGCATTAGTTAACGTTCTATTTATCTAACTGATTGTAAACTAAATGCTAAACAGAGAGTCATACTCTATGGACAATAAACTATGTAAATTGTCTTCAATATATTAGTTAGCTATGAGAACTATTTCAATTAGTGATCAATAATATAAACCAATTTTTATAAACATTGTCCTGTACATAAGTCTTGTCAATAATGTGTTACAGACTTGGATCAACATGTAATCATGTAGCGGGTCTGCTGTTTCGAGTCGAGGCGGCTAACAAAATGGGAATCGCTTCGTGTACATCTGTCCCATGTGTATGGAATTATGTCCCATCAGGCCAGAAACGTGTGGAACCATGTCAATGGAAGAACATGACAATCAGAAAATCCAGACATGGCAAAGCAGCTAGTGTAATTTATTTACAAGATTCTAATGCAATTGAATATACATTTGAAATATTAATTTACATATATAGATGTGCTATTGACTGTACAATGTATTGAGATATTCACAGGTACATATGGTGTGACTGAGCAAAAAAAAATAGTATATGTATTATACTATTTTTTTTCTCAAACATGATATATACCTGTGGGGTATATATATTCAGTAATAGCCATTCATATGACATTATATGACAATCC